ACAGCGTGTTTATCCATTGTCACAATTTGGATCATAAAAAGACATTTTTATCGTTTGGATTAGATCAGTTAAGTTATTCGTATTGGACAAAACAGCGTCATAAAGTGTCGTTTCTTTTTTCAGATTGACAAAATCTGCACAGGGCTTCGTCTGCGGTCTGTCTCTTATGCCAGACCAAGGCGACAGAAAGTGAACACGAGACAAAAACAAGACAAACCTGCGACAAAAATGAGAATTTCAGACAATATAAATTTGAGATAAAATGTCTATACCGCGAGGACAAAACTATACAACAAAGTTCAGTATATGCGAATCAGTTTTTTTAACCCTTAAGTACTAACATATCGAAAGAGTCGCGCCTATATTAACAGACCGTCTGAGAGACGCATTAAAAAAATACATATTTTGTTTGTGTCTAACAGATTTTTTGTAAGTGGAATGAATCATTAGTATTAAAACTACAGGAAAAAAATATCTAATGCTTATATTATGCGAACATGTTTTATATATTTGAAATAAATGTACTAGTTTTGGATTTTTGTCATATCTTTGTTTCTCATGGAGATAGAAAAAAAACGAAAGGAAAATGAAAAAAATATATTTATTATTATATCTAGCATATAAAAATCTATCTATTAAGCACAAAAAAGCAAAAGAAAATATAAAGAATAAAAAAATGACAATGCCTAAAGATGGGCTTGTTCCCTACACACTTTTTTGCGCATTCCAAACAAATTATTCTCCTCACTTCCTTCGATATTAGTCTACTGATCATTCACATCCATATTTTCATCATCTATCACAAAACTTACACAGCTACATACCATTAGATATTAGTTAAAACCCGTTTTTTAGCTTCTAATTCGAATTCAGAATTATGATCGCTCTCTATGGCAAAATTTTCGCCACATTCGGATTCTATGCCAATATTTTGCTATTATCGCTGCCAGTTTCTTCAAACCACTTTAGAAGAGCATCCTTGTAATCTTGCTCGCCATACTTCACATGTTTTGAGCTACTAGGTGCTTGATTCATTCCACAAATTAAAAAAAACTTACGTTAACGCTAACACTCCGTCTGTCAGACGGCATCGACAGTTTGAACTAAAATATTTCGAAAACTACACACTTACGCAAATTGCCCTGCCGGCCTTTAATTTGTTTTGATGCGTATTGAAATTACATAGTTGGATGATAATTAGAAGCGGTGAGGAGGGGAGATGTTATATGTTCAGCTAGTCCGTTGCGTCTGTGAGACGGGGTGTTAGTACTTAAGAGTTAATCATGTGGCCTTTCTACTAGAAAGAAGATAAAGGTATATTACTAGCAACCAGTAGTGTTGTCTTTTACTCGCCGTCCCATGTTGCAAAAAGAAACCCCAAATAATGTTTTTGTTTTTATTTCTTCTCGTATAGTATATAGTTAATAATATTTCTTATTTTTTTCTTAACATCATCAACCGAGTTTATATTTATGCTAAACAAATCTCCTCTAATGCACCAGCTTCTTGTAACAATTTTTGTAGTCCTTGTTTTTACCCTCCCATAATAATAAATGCGCTCTATTAGTTTGTGACTACACTTTCTCTCTTCTGCCATTTTTTTTTATAAAGATGGAACACTCCATCATATACTAATGTCATATATTAGCAGTACCAGCACTCAACATTACTAAATTTGTGTGATTCTATTAGTTTCCTACTTTTGGTAATTCACGACATCCACACTGCACCGACAACTTGTCGTAAAATACACAACAAAACAGAGACTCTTTGAACTTTACCGACTCGAGACGGGACATTCAAAAATCTCCGAATTTGGAAACAAAATAAAAATGAGTATTGGATTTGTCTGAATTTTGTCGTAAAACATGAATGTTTTTTATCTTTATGTCGCTGTTTTGTCTGCTTGGTCTGGACCCGGCTTTACAGTAAGCAATACACTTACTAATTTGATACAGCCGTATAAATCTAAAAAATATTAATTCTGGTGAACATAACATACTATTAATCCTTAAAGTTAATATTGTTTAATTTTTAGTCGTTAAAAAATAACTTCTGTTTCTTTTCGTTAATGAATGATCTTTCGTTAATGAAAATTCTTAATGTAAAAATCAACAAGCACTTCTTAGTTCTTAATATATCATATTTTCAAGGTTACATCATAACCCAAATTGATTTTGCCTTAATTAACGAATTAAGAGAATAAGAAACCAATCTTTTTAAATTTGTACAAAGCTTGAATCATTATTCTGTTTGGATCATTATTTATCATTCCGCCAATTATTATTCTTTTTTGAAGGTAGAAATTGTTTTTTGACGGATATGGGATGATTGATTAGGATTTTCTTAAGATTTGAACTAGAAGGATCTGTTTGGGTTTTTATTAGTTTTGAATTGATTGATGAAATAGGTGTTGAAATATATTTATTGTTCATTGTTTGTCTATTGTTTCAGATATAAAGCGTAGCTAACTAGTTTTTTGTCAATAAAACTATGTTTTTTTTTCAAAAAAGACGCAAATAATATACCTTCGCATGATCAAAAAGTTACATCGACAGAGATCTTGAGATTAACAAATAAACCAATTATAATATAATTTTCAACAAGAACTACCTGTAGATACACAGCCTAATGGGCGAATTCGTGACAAGCCTGTGTTGATTTTCCCTGACGTTTCAAGTGCTGTACGGTGGAGACACCAATCGTTCTGCGGTCAACGCATAAAACACTTGTTTTCTCTAATTCGGTCAGCGAAGGCATATCGAAGATGGTGTGGATCTGAAAGCGACAGTGTTGCCATATTAAAATGTGTAATATCTGTAATACGTTTGACCAAAATATCTTTGGATGAAAAATCCGCGTTTATGTATTGAAAATTTGTTCGTGTTTACATAGAATAAGCGACAAAAATAAAAATTCTTTTATAGGTACTATATCGGTACGTATGATCGACAAAAGTCGTTTAGTTGGCTTGGAAAGGACGATTATTGATATTTACCATAATATTTTACATTATGAAATAACAGCAAACTTCATTTCTAAGCCAACAGTATTTAATATTGCCTCTACCGATGATAGTTTGAAAATTTGGCGTAACACGTCAATTTACATATCAAGGGGGATAATTTTTGAGGCATTTGTTGTCGTGTTACTTTCAACCCCTTGACCCCCAGGGCACCTACCCCTAAAATTTTAAATAGCAACCCCTATTTCTTTTACCATTTTTGTGTTTCTTATAGAATTCTACATAAACTGCATTATTTTTTTGAGAATTTTATAAGGAACACAAAAATGGTAAAAGAAATAGGGGTTGCCATTTAAAATTTTAGAGGTAGGTGCCTTGGGGATTAAAGGGTTGAAAGTAACACGACAACAAATGCCTCAAAAATTGTCCCCCTTGATATGTAAATTGACGTGTTACGCCAAATTTTCATACTATCATCTGTAGAGGTAATATTAAATACTGTTCGTTTTCAAATTGTCACCGTGTATAATATTATATTAAATTGTTTAGTGATATAAAATCCGTATTATTAACGTACTGTACCGTAACCACCGTAATAACACGGCCGGACAGCTGTGACGTAAAAATCTCGTGACGTCACCAACTGGAGGCCTAACTCTATTTATAGCAGCGTTGATAATTACCCGATAAAAGTTCAAATTGTGGATCTTTTTTCACTCAGCAGATATATTTCGAAGTTTTAAAATGTCTTTTTTCGAGTTTTTAAAAATATTATAGTATATATAAATAGTTTTAGTAGAATACGGAAAAAATCATACCAGTCAATAAATGTTTATCTCTCACTTTTTATCAATCAAATTTAATAAAGTAATATTTTAAGTATAACAATAGTACCTATAATTATGAGGTTATATAGTATAACAATAGTAACAACAATACCTATAACAATAGAAGATATACGAAAGGCAATTAAAACAATAAAAAACAAAAAAGCAGGAGGACCAGGGGACATCGCACCAGAGCTCATAAAATGCGGCACAGAAAAATTATTCAGAATCATACATGGAATGTTTGGGAAAGCAATAAATGGACATAACATACCAGACGAATGGAAGGAAGCACAGCTAACATCGATTTTCAAAAAAGGAGATAGAAGACAGTGCGATAACTATCGAGGGATCAGTGTCATAGCAACCATGGAGAGGCTATATGGTAGAGTACTGAGAGACAAATTAGAACAGAACATACAAGGAAAAATCGGAGAAGAACAAGCAGGTTTTACAGCAGGGAGATCATGCATAGATCATATTTACACGATCCAACAATTATTGGAGAAAAAAAAGCAAAGAACAAACCAGTACACTTAGCATTCATCGATTTAAAGAAGGCCTATGACACTGTACCCAGGAAAGAACTATGGAAAGCGATGGAAAGACTGGACATACCGATAACACTCACAAATGCAATGAAGACTTTATATAGGAACAACAAAATACACATAAAAGTAGGGAACAAGATAGTAAACAGCTTAACAACATCGAAGGGGCTGCTCAGGGATGTCCAACATCGCCAACATTATTTAAAATATTTCTGGAACATGCACTGACAACCTGGAAACGCAAATGTGAAGGTATGGGAATCCCTCTAAGAAATGAACATCTTTACACGCTCTGCTTTGCAGATGACCAGGTGGTGATGGCCCAGGATGAGGAAGATCTAAGTTATATGCTCAGGAAGCTAAATGAAGAGTATGAAAAAGTAGGACTAGAAATAAACCTGAAGAAAACCATGTACATGACAACAGAGGAAGATACAGCTGATTTACAAATAGAAGACCACCTGGAAATAAAGGGAACCAATAACTTTAAATACCTGGGATTTACACTATCGAAAAACGCAACTACGGAAGAAGATATAAATGTCAGACTTGGACAGACAAGATCCTGTATACAACAACTGCACTCCGTTATCTGGGATAGAAATATCAGGAAAAAAGACTAAAACATTGATATATGAAACAATTATTCAGAGTATCATGACATATGCAGCAGAAGTATGGGTCATAAACAAAAACAACCAAAGAAAAATTCTGGCCACCGAAATGATGTATTGGAGAAGATGCTGTGGACTAACCAGAAGAGACCGAGTCACGAATGAGGAAATAAGAAGAAGAATGGGGAGAAAGACCGACGTCTTAAAGTACATAGAAACGAAAAGATTGGTATGGTACGGTCATGTTAGAAGGGCGGAAAATAGATGGATTAACAGAGTGACAGAGTGGAGCCCGATTGGAAGAAGAAAGCGAGGGCGGCCAAGAAGATCATGGCGAGATGAAGTGGACGAGTCTATGCATCAGAGAGGACTACGAGAGGGAACATGGGATGATCGAGACGAATGGAGGACCCGGTTGATGGAAGGAAGGCAGCCAGAGCTGTAGAATCCTTTATATATATAATATTTTAAGTTCACAATAGTGTATAATATGAGAAAAAAATTATAAAAAAATAGATATTTTTTATAGTATATAATATGCATTTTATTGATATTTTACGCCCCCTACTAAGGGGCGACGGCGCCGCGCGGCGCCTGTCATAGCGGAGTGGTGTTGCCGCAGTTGACAGTCGGTAGGTATGCGGACGTGCTAATTATAATCGATAACAGAAGAGTGAACAAATTTATAAATCTGTAAAAAGAGGTGTTTAAACTATAAAGTGATTATAAGTGTGTGCTATGCTTTTACTTATCTTTTACCTCACCTCAAATCTTCCTCAAACCTTTGATATTTGAAAGTTACATAAACTACACCCTCTACATCGATTAACTACATGTAATGTAGTTTACGTAGTATTTAAGAGTAACATGTAGTTTTCCGAACCCTGATAGTAATACTGTTCAAATTATTAGTCATGCTTGTTATTTACTAAATTCTTTAAAATGCGATGAAAATAATAAATTTCTAACTTTTATCTGTGTTCAATATTAAAGTTATTAACTTGAGTTGAGTAACAGGTTGAGCTTGAAGTAATAAAATATTGTTTTAATGAGTAAAATATGAGGTATGTTTTACTAGAGAACTTGCAAACTGATCCTCTTGAAAGTAGGTTTGGAAAATATAGACAGTTAGCTGGGAGTCAATACAGTATTTGTGTTCGACATTTATATGAAGGCGAAAGAAACTTAGGATTCAGTCATTAATGTCCCTAAAATCTACTTGTTTTGTTTCTATAAAAATCGATACTTTTTATGATTTTATGATGACAACACCTTGATGTCTAAAGAAATACCACACGATACAAGTACCATCGAATCAGATTGGTTTAACACCGGCATTACTATTTCTATACAGAATATCGAAAGTGTGAAGGAAGAAAGGCCTGTTATTGCTTATTTAGGAGGATATTGCTGTTATATTGTCTTAAAGGAAATTAAATGCGATACATGTAAGTATAATTTAACATTTTCAGACGACACTGATATTGAACAAAATCACTTATAAAAAACCTTACTAAAGGCAGTCTTAGATTTCCAAAAGATAAAATAACTAATATAGTTTTACTTGAATATATAATTTTTAACAAAGCCGCATGAGGAGTTTCTCAAAATTCACTTTAAAAAAATATTTTTATCAAAAATATTTTTGGATTACATTAAACGTAATAACACTATTATTAAAGTTTCCGCAATGTACTATTTATAATGCTAAGTTATTGTAAAAATTGTCATAAATTATATTAGAAATACACGTCTGAAAAACTACTGTTGTAAAAAAAATTATAGACTTGGAAAAGGAAATAAAAGAAACTTATACACACTTACAGCATAAATAAATACAATGACGATGGATAATGTGAGATGGGTATGAATCTGATGTTTTTTAAATTTTATGTTTAATTATTATTTATTAAAAATTCGGTGCAATTAAAGTTTATATCCATTATATACGTATAAAGTGTATCAAATGCAATTAAAGTTTAGGCCTCCAGTTGATGACGTCACGAATAAGCTGTTCGGCCTTGTTATTACGGTGGTTACGACTGTACCCAGTAAATTTACGGATTAAACAGTAGTTCTGGCAACACTGTCTCCGGAAACCACTCTCTCTGTCGACTGAAAGCAGAACTACGGTATATTATTCTTTATCCGCTGCCCTATAAACGACTGATCGATCAGCGGGCAGCGGCGCAGAACTAAACTAAATATCGGAAATCTCAGACAGGCTGACGGTAACGCCAGCTTCATCTCGGACAGGTTTTGTGCCACGAAATCGCCCGTAAGGTTGTGCATCTTCTTATTTTTTCAATCAACGATTTTATTTTGAAATAAACCATTCGGTTGAATGCCCATTGTTATTCTTTCATTAATAGAATTGAGGTTGGAATATTTAGCCTTAAAAGAGACAGCATCCAGGTCAGCATTATCAGCAGATAAGGAAAACAGACTTAAAGCTAATGGTAAGCTGAAAACGCATCTAAAGCTGGTGGGGTTGACGAACAAAGCTATGTGCAGATTTTACCAATCTGAAGAAGACACGACTAAACACATTTTATGTGAGTGCGACAATAAATGTACCGTTCTTTGTATTAGGCAGTGATAAGCTATTGGCATAGAGCTATATGGAGGAACTGTATTCGGTGTTCAAGTTAGAATGAGAAAAAGGAAGATGACTTAAAAAAGGATAGGACTGGAGAGTGTAACCTAGAGATTATAGAAACAAAATAACTACAACCACTTTAACAGAATTATGAGTTAATAATAAACATGCATACCATAAATTGCAACATACTTTCTAAAATGTCCTTCGATAGTGTGAAATTTCGAAAATTTTGCAGGTGAATTATCTTTCAGAAGTCCATTACAGCGGCGACCTTCTTCTTTTATTACTAATTATAAAAATAATAGAATTCTGCATTTTTATCGTGTATAACATCCTTCCCACATACTCGGAGCAGCCAATTACAACATTTCCTTAATTCGTTGGATGGAACAAGAGACTAAGATGCAGACTTTCACGATTTTTCGATAAAAAAAGAATCTACTTAATTATATAGATAGATACATGATTCACCGATGTATGAATTCACAATACATATATTTATTTTAATTTACTAGCATGATTAACAAAATGTGCGCCCAGAGAAACAAATATTAAAGATCTCGTATGGTTATTCTGTGTGAAATGCACAGCTTTAAAAAGTCACGGTAAGGGTTTGGTTTGGTTAAGGGATGTTAATCACCGCGACCTTATACAGGGTGTTTCAAAAAACATCGTGGAGGTAAAAATAAGATTTATTGTTTATTTCAATATAGGTCCGATTCTGTTGTGTTTTGTAGCTACTGCCAAAATTTTTCTGTTTATTATAAGTTTCTTCCAAGTACTTTTAGCATTTCAAATGAAATTTTGAGGGTAAAAGTTACTATAAATGCAACATATTTTAAAGCTGTGTATTTAAAAAAAAAGTGTCGACATATTCAATAGGCACATGCATATGGATTATCACGGAAATATTTTTCTAAAAAAAGCATGTTCGCCACTGCCTTTTTTTTTTCTCTTGTTAGCGAAATAGTGTAAAAAGTTTAATGCCGATTAAAAGTTGTCTCTTCGTATTTTGCCGATTTCGGCCTCCTTTAATATACAGAATTTTATTAATTTGCCTTGATCCAAGTATAATAGCAACCTTTTCAACATTTACAAAAATGTTATTGTAACCATTGTACCAAACCAAACAAAAAATAATATCATTAACTTGCGAAAGTTTTAAATATGTACTCACTGATTCCTCATCAAAAAATATGAAAAAAGATCTTATAAACATGGGTATGGAAATGTATAGTTTTAGAGTTACAGGATATATTAAAACTTTTTAAAATTTGTTTTTTTGTAATTAGCTTAAATACCATTATTTTTTTATTTGAAATTGCTGTAGGTTGGACTAATAGTTATAATAACTAATAATAATAATATTTAATAATAAATTAGGTAAAATATATGTCATTTTTTTTATTTTTATTTTTATTTTATTAATTGTGATTTAATAGAATTGCGTTTACTTCATCAAGGAGGCCGAATTCGACAAAATATGAAGACATGACTCTTAATTGGCATTAAACGGCCTACACAATATGTAGCACTTATAGTAACTTTTACCCTCAAAATTTCATTCGAATCTCTAAAAGTACTTGGAAGAAAATTATAATAAATCGAAAGATTATTCAGACTTTAACACCCTATAGCTACGAAACAAAGCAGAATCAGACCTATATTGATGTGAAAAATAAATTTTATTTTTACGTGAGGAATCTCCCCACGAGGGATGGCACATGTTTTTTGAAACACCCTGTAGATCTATTGTTTCTCCTTTCTTGAGTTATAACTCATTATACAGTCTCAGGGCTTTTTGACAAAAGCTAGACGGTTTTACAGAGGTTAATTCTGCATCTCCTTTATCGGTCGTACTAAAGTATGGCACGAATAGTTGTGGTCTCGGCGCTCTCAGTGATGAGGGGTTCTGATGTTTTTCCATTTTCTCCACAGGCTCTACCGGCATTGATTCTTATCTTCAATGTGCTGAGGTGTTTGCATTGAGGAGACAGTGTGCTGTTAAAAGCCCCGTGACAAACCGAAGATTGTTCTTACTTAGATCAAGAAAAATCTTCGATTTTTCTCGGTCGTACCCAAGTAGCATCTATCTGACTTCGAACTAAATCTGACCTGAAGCGACGTCAGACTTTGTGCAAATTTAGGTCGGGTGCTGGTGATACGACTGGTGACGTCGCTTTCCTATTAAAAGTGACGTTGTTGGATCCGAGTCGGTAAATCCAACGATCTGTCGACGTACAAAATAACAACGTATCATTTTTATTAATTTCCCAACGTCGTTCCAACGTTGGCTTGCACGACGTACCTATACTTGAACTAGCCCGACGTCTACCCATTGTCCGAATAGGATACGTCTCACTGATAATCCCTAAAGTAACGTCCAATTATATTTTGTTGTATTTTATGTTCATATTTTTAACCTAATTTACGTATCTCTATTTACGTCCGTAAATACAACCCATTAATTAGCATTTGCGGCCTAATAAACGTCATGAACGTAACCTAATAAAAAGTTTTTGTAAACAAATTTAATTTTTTCTATTATGCCTAAAAAAACACTAAAAAGGCATTTAGACAGTCATCTACATTTTACAGAAAGAGGTCGAGGCTTTTGCAAAATAATAATAGTAGTAGCGATGTCTTCTCTCCGCCCACGAATGCTTTTTATCCGGAAGAGATGCTGCATTACATTGGTGCATCTTAATTTCATTTTTTAGCTTAGGAAACCAGCAGACCCCATCCTCCTCCCACATGTGAGGTACTGGTTCCAATTCTTTTAAATTTTGTATATACTATCTTAAAAAAGTGGCTGCCCATTGTTTTAAAGAGAAAACAAAAAC